TCCTAGACTTCCACGTCACTATGAATTACCAGAGGAGCTTGGGCAGGTGCAGATTCTGATTCAGTAGGACAGAGGTGAGGCCCAAGAGTCTCTGTTTCTAGGAAGCTCCATGGTGAAGCCAAGCTGTTGGACCATGGACCACACTTTGAGCAGAAAGAGGGAAACTTCTTGACCCTGAAAGGGGTGTCTCTTGGGATAGCTCCCCTCATTCCTGCTCTCCAGCTCTACACAAAACACACCTGCCACTTCTCGATTCTCAGGTCAGGAAACATTGCCAGGGTGGAGGCTATGATCTTCATTTTATAGGTTAGGAGGTGAACACACACACACACAACTAAGCAAGTTTTCTAGGGAGGGGCTGGATCACCTGATTCCAGGCCAGCTCCTCCGAGGCACAGCCCACGAGCTCCCCACCATTAGCTAGTGCCTGGGTGTGGCAGAGCTAGTCTTGCCTGAGATGGAGAGGAGCTTCCAAGAGAAAGAAAGAGTCCAGGGATCCGTGTTGGTCCAGGAGGACACAGACCTAGCTTTCCCCACCTAATAATCACTTATTGTCTTTTTCTTTTTCTTCTGAGACAGGGTCTTGCTGTGTAGTTTAGGCTGGCCTTGAACTTATCCTCCTGCCCCAGCCTCCCAAATGCTGAGATTACAGATGTGTGCCTCCATGTCTACCTCTTGTCTTTCCTTAATGACTCCTATATTTAGATTTTGTCTACTCAACTGTATCTACTATCCCTTATTCAGTAGCCTTTTTTCCCCTCTTTGCAGTGCTGGGTATCAAGCCCTGGGCTCTGAGCATGGTAGGCAAGTACTTTACCACTGAGCTGTATCCCCAACCCCAATTAGTGGCTTTTTAAACTGTCAGGCAAAACTGATAAGGGGTCACACCAGTTTGCATTCTAACTTGATTAGAACCAAAAACAAAGACTCCCATGGAGTATTACTTAGGCTGTGGCTCCGTAGAGATAATAGCTGTTCTTGTTCTGGGCTGAAAAGGACCAGATATGCTTGGGATGTTGTGGATTCTACATCTGTCACATAATCCACCTTGGAGGTTGTGATAACACTAGCACATGAAAGGCTTTGTAGGTGTTGATAAAAAGATCCTTTTCTGTTTTTCATTTTTTTGAGAGAGGATCTTGCTGTGTATTCCAGGCTGGCCTTGAACTCACTATGTAGCTCAGGCTGGCCTGGAACTCAGGGTGATCTGCCTGCTTCAGCCTCCCAAGTGCTAGAATACAGGCGTGCACCATCACATCCAGCTTAAAGATCCTTTCTGAGATTTCCATGTGTTTACCACAACACTTTTCCAGAGAATGCTCATGTAGAACATTCAGCAAAGCTGCATAAGGCATTTCAGTTAGTCAGGTGGTTAGTCTGTGTCCTCCCTGGATGAACATTTTGGAAATGTTGAAAATAACTGTGGTACTATATTAGTTTCTCCAGGGGCCTTAAGGTGTTGGGAGCCCCAGGTTGAGAACTCCTGATGCAGAAGTAATGAAGAAAGTACCTAGACTGGGAATAACTTTCTGAGGAAGTGAGGCCTGTACTGGGGACAGAATGACAGGGAGCAGCAAGCCATAAGCAGGTGTGGCAGAAGGTGACAGTAAGTGCAAAAGTAGCTTTTATTGGGGGGGGTGATCGAACTCAGCACCTCATGCATGTTGAGTACCTGCTGTACCACTTAGCTCGACCCTCAGCCCTCGACTTCTTTTATTAGAATTTATTGGTACATTTTAGATATACATAATAATAACATTCATCATAGGGAATTTGTATTTGTACATGATGTATCTTGCTTCTTCTTTTTTCCCCTCCTCTCCCTTCAAACCCTCTTCCCTTCCTTATTTACAAAAGCTTTGCTCCCATTTTTCCTTCTATTCTCTTTTTTTCCTTGTCTCTTCCTTTCCTCCTCCTTTGTTCCTCTTCTCATTTGAACATTTTCTTCCTATTCCCCAATATCTATTACACATTTTGGACTTTATTTACACTTTCAGTTTAAACAATGCAGTATTTAAACACGTGTGTCCAATTTATTTCACTTAAGAGTATAGTCTCAAGGTGTGTCCATTTAGCTAGAAATGTCTCAAGCTTATCCAACTTTATGGCAGAGTAGAACTCCATTGTATTAAAAAAAAAAACCACATCTTTATCCATTCACCACTTGATAGGCATTTGGGCTGTTTCCAAGATTTAGCTATTACAAACTGTCCTTGGCTTCTTATCCCAAGGCTGTTCCTGGGAAGCTGAGGTCAGGGGGGACTGGACTGGGGAGGAGAACTCTGGATAAAGTGTCCCAGTACCAAATGGGTAAAGAAGCCTTGCTTAGTGGAAGCAAGCCATCACTGTCTTTGGAGAAAGACAGCTCTGAAACCTTTGTTCCATCTCTACTTGCAGGGCATCTGAGGAAGCTTTCGTGAAGGAATCCAAGGAGGACACCCCAGGCACAGAATGGGAGAAGGTGGCCCAGCTGTGTGACTTCAACCCCAAGAGCAGCAAGCAGTGCAAAGACGTGTCCCGGCTGCGCTCAGTGCTCATGTCACTGAAGCAGACACCGTTGTCCCGCTAGATGCCTGGCATAAGCATGGCCTCAGAGCATGGGCCGTGCCAGGGCAGAGGAGGATCAGCTGCCGAGGCCAGGGTGGAAAGTGGAAACCCTCAGGCAGCTGCTTACACACAGTCTATTCTGTTCCTGTCCATCTCCTAGGGCGGGACAGGGGGATCCTCACCCTTCTCGCTCCTCACTCCCTCCTGGCCCTGTGGTCCAGCCCCTCATGCCTTCTCTCGGTCCACTCAGTTGTGACTGTCCCTCCTGATGTATTTTTTCTTGGCTTAAAGGGTGTGTTGTTAACTCTTTTTACACTTATTTATTATCATCCTTATTTCTCTGGAAGCCATAACTGGTGTCAGGGCTCGGTTTGTGCTTAGAAATTGGAGCTGAGAAAGGCAAGGATGTGTCCCAGGAAACCCAGGAGCTCCCAGCCAGAAGTCGAAGCCCCATCTTATGTCTGCTGCCTCCATCCTCAGGAGGGAAGACAACCTCTTACAGGATGCTTTTGCAACCTTGATCCTTTCTGACCCTGAAACCTGTGAGGTAGGGATTCTTGTAGTCTCACATATAATTAAGGGCATCAGTGCTCCCAGAAGGCATAGAGGGAGGGAAGAGGCAAAACAAAGGTCCTTGGCGGTGGCTAAGCCTGAGTGAGAGAGGCTGGTGAACGTACCTTCTGCCAGGCCCCCTTCCTCACAGTTGGCCTGGATATTCAGGATGTGGAGGAACCAGTGTTTTGCCCCTTTCAGCTGTGCCCTCCGGTGGATTTGGGATAAACAACCGGTGACCACACCTTCTTCCACTTTATTTTTTTCATTTTTTGAGACAAGGTCTCGTTTTTTAGCCCAGGGTAGCCTCAAACTTGTGGCGATCCTCCTGCCTCAACCTCCTGAGTGCTGGGATCACAGGTGTGCACCACCACACTCAGCTTGTCTTTGTTTCTGGTTTCCTTCCTTTTAGCAGAGGCTGTAAGAGGGATGTTCAAGCCATCATGACCTGCACAGTATTTAACTGCTAGCAATATAAGTTCCCTATGGCCACTATAACAATGTACTGCAAACTGGCTGACAACAGACATTTATTGTGTTATAGTTGTGGAGGTTATTAAGTCCATAATCAAGGTGCCACCAGGGCCACTTCCTCTGAAGGCACTAGGGAAGGATCTGTTCCATGCCTCTTTCCTGGCTGCTGGTGGCCTTAGGCATTTTTCTGCTTGCAGGTGCATCACTCCAGTTTTGCCTCCATCCTCATGTGGCCATTGGTCTGTTGCCTGCTCTCTATGCCTGTCTTTGTACCCAAATTTTCCCTTTTTATAAGGACACTAGTCGTATTGGATTAAAGTCCACCCTAATGACTTCACTTTCATTATTACTTCCGTAAAGCCCCTATTGTCAAATAAGGTCATATTCTAAGGAACAAGGACTTGGAACTTCAACCCATCATTTTTGGGGACACAGTAACACCACACCTACAGTGGACATTCTCTATAAAAGTGTCACAGTATCCTTTCCTTGTATCTTGAGGCTAAGGGTCACTACAATGCACTGCTCTACATTTGCAGTCTGCCTCACAGCCGAGAGACCATGGTGGAGGCAAGAAACTTAGCTGGTCTTTATGATAAGCTATTCCACTCAGAGATCTAGATGTGTCAGAGGCCCAAGAAGAGGTGTGTTTTCTACATTCCGTCTTTTCCCTTTGCCAACTTGAAGGTGGTGTTGAAGAAAGATGGGTGTAGCCTCGGTCCCCAAATCAACACTTGAGAATTTACTGTAGACCAAGAATACCCACTGAGACTTCATATGTTAAAAGCTGGGATGGTCTAGATCAGTGGTGGCGAACCTGTGGCACGTGTGCTGCAGCCAGCTGTCTGTTATCACTGAAAGCTCTAAAAGGTTCACCATCACTGGTCTAGATCAGTGGAGCCCTAGAGGCTCTCAGGATAAAAGTGGGGTGAGGAGAAACATGGAAGGCAAGTCTAATCTAAGGGCTACTAAAAGCTTGAAAACTGTTGGCTAGGTTCCTCATACCCTGCCCTCCAGTGGCACCACTAGAGTGGCCCACTGAATTAGAATCTAATTCAAAAAGGAGAGATCCCTAGGAATCTCTACTTTTAACAAGTCTCCTAGGTGACTGTTACCAGAAAAGTTTGGGAATCACTAGATTACACGATTATTTTTTTTGAGGTATTGGGGACTGAACCCAGGACCATTACACTGAACTATATCCACAGGCCTTTTTTTATTTTTAGAGACAGAGTTTCACTAAGTTGCCTAGGTCCTCCTGCCTCAGCTTCCCAGTGTTGGGATTACAGGTTGCACCACCACACCTTTCTCAGGCTACATGATTTTTAAGGCCCTCTCCAGGCTATAGTCCGTTTTCTGCTAAAACCAAACACCAAAACCCATGGTTTTGATCATGGAGGGTGAGACTGAGAATGATGTCACCAAGCTACAAGTGGACTATATTTTATTACACAGGGAGTGGAAGAGGTGGGGCACAAATAGAAGTATGCAACACCTAAACTGAACCAACCATGTCTGGATTTCTGAAAAATCTCTATCAGTTACACAATAACACAGAAGCATGTCAAAGGACGGAATAAGTCTCTTGGCATGGCTGGTGCTTGCTCCTGGGTTTGGGAATGACCTCTGCGGAGCTGCTATGCCCTGGTGGTGAGCTCAGGGTCGAGACTTCAAAGCAGATGCAGCTAAACCGAACAAGATGGCTGCGACCGTGAAGCCCTGGGCAGCTATCCGGGTGCGCATCATGAACTGGGAGCGCTGGCTGTGGCCTCGGTGGAAGCAGTAGAGGCCGTAGGTGAGGGCGGCCGCAGTGCCCAGGCAGCCTGAGGAGGAGTGGACAAAACAGTGGGAACGCAGGTCAGGCGACGCTCGTCTGTTCAGGATTTAGGCATTCTTCCCCAGACCCAAGACCTCTACGAAGCACCAAGGGGAGGGCGGAGAGTCGGTCCAGGGGAGTCCTCTTCGCTCCAGAGTCCACCCCATTCCAGCACCCCTATCCAGCCCCTAAATCCACATTACTGCCTTTCTAATTCGTTTCATTGTTCCACCCCTTCCCCTCAACTCTGGTGCTGTCTCATTCGGTCCCCCCAGGCGTCCTAGGTTCTCTCCTATTTCATTCTTCCCAATATCACCGTCCTGTCAATTTACAGTTCCTACAGCACCCACTTACTTACCTATGGGTACCATTGGGTTCTCACGAGTCTTGCGAAGGAATTTTTCCCTGAAGCCTTCTGGGTCGCTGGAGACAGTGGGGTTAAAGCCCTCAATGGCTGGGGGCTGCGATGGGTCAAAGGGTACTCCAGGAGTCAGTGGGCCAGGAGTTGCCATGATCAGGGACACACAGGTAGGAGAAAGTCTGGACGCTAAGCTCCTCCTTCTGATGAGGTCAGGAAAGGGGCAGGGAAACAAGCGCAAGCACCCGTTGCATTCTGGGAGTCGTAGTACTTAGCGTGGAAGCGCTGCAGAAAAGACTACATTTCCCAGAAAGCTTGCCAACCCCTGCGCGCACCAGCCGGAAGGAGTCTGTAGACACGTGGTTCTCAGAGTAAGAGGCCCTGAGTGAATTGCTGGTCCGTTGGTCAGAGCGATGCCCAAAGCTAAGGGCAAGACTAGGAGGCAGAAATACGGTTATAACATCAACCGAAAGCGCCTGAACCGGAATGCTCGACGGAAGGCAGCCCCGCGGATCGAGTGGTGAGTGGGCGGGCGTTCGTGAGGCAGGGGGCTTTGGCCAGGACGGCCCACGAGATGACAGAATATGGATCTTTCTCTCTTTTCCGATAGCTCCCATATCCGACATGCCTGGGACCACACCAAATCTGTACGGCAGAACCTGGCGGAGATGGGGTTGGCCACGGACCCCAACAAGGCAGTTCCCCTCCGTAAGAGAAAGGTACTACTAACAAGGCAGGATCCCGCCTCTTGCCGCCTTTCTTTCCTCTTTATAAACTCTCCTTTCCCTTTCCTCTTTCCTTCCCCTGCCTCGCTGTGTTTCACATCCTTCCTGGGTTTGCGACCTCTCCCCACTGTCAACCGCTCAGCTTGCACCAACTGTGCTCAAGGGGCCCTTTATTACCTCCCTCAGGGCTTCCTGTTCAGCACACATTTAGACTTGGGTTGGAGCTTCTTTTTTCAAACACAAAATATTTTTCCTCAGAAAGTCCCTTGGCATCACAGTGGTATTTACCAGAATGTTAATTTAGCTGTCCTTGATTTTCCTAATAAGCCCCCGCCCCGACCCCGCTTGAGATCTTTACGTTTCCTACATCTTCCCCCAGTCATTCTTCATCTGAGGCTTCCCTAGAGTTGATTTCTCTCTAGTAAGTCTTTTTCAGGCCACCCCTTTAAGCTTTCAAAATTAATTTCCCTCTTCACTCAGGAACCTCCTCCATTTAACTTTTAGAGCTTGAAGGTACATGGTGGTATATTATGTATTTATTTCCTTATTTGTTTATTGTCTGTGCTTTCCTCTAACATAATCTCCTTGTGTTTTGTCAACTCAATAGTTAACCCAATGAATGGGCATGTGAATGAATTTGTCTCATTACTTTTAGGCATCTTAGTCCTTTTTCCTTCATGCCAGAGAAAAACAACATTAATGATTCTTGAACAAATGTGAAGCTATAGTTAAGTACTGTCTGGTGGGCCTTCCCCATAGGGAAGATATCTGATATTTCTCCCTCACTGTAAATTATAAAGCACTTTCATGGCATTGTTTCAGTTATCACACAACCAAATAAGGGAAGGAGTGTTATTTAACAGATAGTCATGGAAAGATAAGTTCCTTGGCTGTGTTTCTTTTGAGAACTGTGGATTGTTGTGAAGATTTTAGTGCATTGGTTCTCCTTGTTATTTACTTTTGTTTGACCTTGAGCAGGGATTTTAATGGGTAATATGGTTATAATGGGGTGATTAGGATCCTTTTTAACCAGGTCAGACTTTCCCTGATCAAAGCTCCTTCCTTGTCTACTGGTCTCACAGGCTCTGTTCTCTGCAGGTGAAAGCCATGGAAGTGGACATGGAAGAGAGGCCCAAGGAGCTTGTACGGAAGCCCTATGTACTAAATGGTGGGTGCAGACCGTATTCCGCTAGGTCACCATGGAGTCATACCTGGAAAGGGCCCTTGAACATCCTCATTTTACAACTGGAGAGAGCAAGATTCAGAGAGAAGAGAGCTGATCCAGGGTTCATGGAGTTAGAACTGTGTCCCAGGCTCTGACATTTTCAGTTTAGTACTGAAAAACTTTTTTAAGTATGTGAACCAAGGTCAGAGATATTCAGGGAAGATGTAGCCAAGTGCTTGAAAAGATAGAAAAGAAACCATTAAGTCTTTAGGCATGTGTTTGGCTTCTCATGAATTTAAGGATGAACTGATTTTTAGAGATTTTCCCATCTCATAGTCTTTCCAATGGCAAATCAATTTCATGTATATTAATACTATGGAGACTGAATATTGAACAAGAAGAATAGGCTGGGGATTTAGCTCAGTGATTTCACTGCCTGCTGCGCAAGTGCAGGGACCCGAGTTCAATCCCCAGTACCAAAAAAAAGAACAATAAACTCTGTAGACGCTGGGGGTGGTGGTGCACACCTGTAATCCCAGTACTCGGAAGGCTGGGGCAGATGGACTGATGTGAGCTCAGAGCCACCCTGAATAGAGCAAGACTCTGTCTCCAAAAAATACCTGGCAGGAATACTCTACTCTTTTTTACCTATCATAGATTTTAATTTTTAAGATTTTTTTGTGCAGGGAACTGAACTCAGGGCCTCACACACGATAAGCACATGGCCACTGAGCTACACCTCCAGCCCCAGGTAGGGATTTTTTTTTGGTACCAGGGATCGAACTCCAGTCCTTCCGCTTGTGAGGCAGGCGAGGAACCACTGAGCTAAATCCCCGGCCCCCCAGGTAGGGAGTTTTAACAGCTTTCTTAAAGGTAAAAGGACTTGGATGGCCAGACATTTGATAGGGAATTCTTTTGAGTTTCTGTCTTTAGTTGATCTTTGTGGTTCTTATAAGAATTACTGCACAGTTCAATGTGAAAATAAAAATTACTGCATAAAAATGTATATACAAAGCCACATGTACTCATTGTACTTAAAGAGAATTAAAATTATTTTTTAATTTTTTTTTTGGAGACAAGGTCTTGCTATGTAGTCCAGACTAGCCTAGAACTCATGATCCTCCTGCCTCAGCCCACTGAGTGCTGGGATTATAGGCATGTACCACCGTGCCTGGCATTGTTTTTTAATTTAAAAAAATCTTAATTGTGATTAAAAAAAATTACATAGAATTTATCATTTTAAAATGTATATAAAATTCAATAGTGTTAAGTATTTTTACATTTTTGTGCAACATTTGTCCAGCACCATAAACTGGGCACAGTGGTGCACAGTTGTATACCCAGCACTTGAGAGGCGGAGTCAAGAGGATTGCTGCAATTGTGAGGCCAGCCTGGGGTACATAGTGAGTTAAAAGCCAGCCTGAACTACAAAGCAAGACCCTATCTCAAAAACCCAATCCTTACCAGGCATGGTGGTGCACACCTGTAATCCTAGCACTTGGGAGGCAGAGGCAGGAGGATTGTTGTGAGTTCAAGGCCAGCCTGAACTACATAGTGACACCCTGTTTAAAAAAAAAACAAAAACTAAACCTGGGCCGGGGATTTAGCTCAGTGGTTCTGGTGCCTGCCTCACAAGCTCAAGGTCCCAAGTTCGATCCCCAGTACCAAAAAATAAATAAATAAATAAAAATCCAGAACTTTCACTTGGAAAATTAATGAGTGTACTCATTAAATGACTCCCCATTTGCCCCCTCCTCTCTGACAGTCTCATCAAAGATAATTTTGACTATAAGCAGAATTAACATCTAACCCCCTAGATAACATTTGATTATGCCATTTCTGTAAGGTAGTTCTTATTCTGTTTTATAGATGAGAAATGGGAGTTTTTGCCTAGGTTCTTTTTTTTTTTTTCCTACTGGGAATCAAACCCAGGGTCTTGCATATCCTAAATAATACTCCCAGCCTACTTGCCTTTTTTTTTTTTTTTGAGACAGGGTCTCACTGTGTAGTTCAGGCTGGCTTCAAACTTGCCTCAGCCTCCTGAGTGCTGGGATTACAGGTATGTGGCATCACAGTTGGGCTTGAAGCTCTAGTTTTCATTTATTCAGATCTTTACATTTTACCTGGGTCTCTAAGAGTTTTAGAGGCAGAAGGGAGTCCTGCTTTCTAGGCAGATCTTATATCTTCACCTCTGTGTCCATAAGACCTGCCACTAAGAAGAGATACAGGTACATAGTTTGGTACCTTCCTTTTAAACCCAAATGAGGCCTAGAGAGGAGTTCACGTAGTTGCCACACTATAGGTGATTGGGTTATAGGAGGCAGAGTATGGGATCCCAGAAACTGAAGAGGAAGGTTCCTGCAGTGAATTCAGGAATGGGTTTGTATAGCAATTCTTATGGCATGTGACTGGGTGAAGGGTGTGCAGACAACTCAAATGCAGCAGAGGCAAAGCCTCATCCCATCTCCTGGCTTCTCTCACCCCAGACCTGGAAGCAGAGGCCAGCCTCCCAGAAAAGAAAGGGAATACCTTGTCTCAGGACCTCATTGACTATGTGCGCTACATGGTGGAGAACTACGGGGAAGACTATAAGGTGAGATGCTCAGGCCTAGCAGAAAGAATTGCTGGGACTGATTGGGAAGGCAGTGCTGGACCATTCATGCTCTGATCTACTTGTCTAGTGCATGTTTCCTGAGACTGGGTAGAAAGAAAGGGAGCAATTTTAAGAAATGAGTCCCTTCATAGGGATTTAATACAAACAAAATGTCGACAGCAGGGGTAGGAGGAGTATCTTGTGGTTCATATCCCATTCAACACATAAATGTTGTAAAAAAGAACTTGGACTAGTTGCCATTTCAATTATGACAGGGTTCTCAAAAAGTCCATGTTTGGCTTTTTTAAACATTGAAAAATCTGGCCACATTGGACCTCTGTTCCCAGGTGGGATTAGTTGGCTGTGGATAGAGCATGAGCTCCTTGAACTCCTGCCCAGCCTACTGCATTCTTTGGCTTGCCTGATCCCTACGGGCATTTGTACCCCTTTCCTCAGCTCAGTGCAGAAGGGCTCCACATACGCCATGGCTTTTGAGATAAGAAATCTAGGTATCAGTGATAGGAAGTGATTTGCCCAATTCACACACAGCTAAGATTTGAACCTCTAAGTCGCCCTTCTTCCTTCTTAGGCCATGGCCCGGGATGAGAAGAATTACTATCAAGATACCCCGAAACAGATTCGGAATAAGATCAACGTCTATAAACGTTTTTACCCAGCAGAGTGGCAAGCCTTCCTTGATTCTTTGCAGAAGAATAAGATGGAGGTTGAATGACTCCAGGCTGAGTCCTCCTCCCGGACCAAAGAAGCTGGAGCCAGCATTTAAGACAAGGAGGTTGTGTGGCTTCAGCTGAGGCTGACTAATCCTGTGGAATCAGGTTACACATATATACACACGCACTTCCTCTTGGGGAAGCAATAGTCTTTGAAGCGATAATTGAATTTGCAGCGATCTTCCTGTCTTAGTCTCCTGAGTTCTGGGATTACAGGTGTGTGTCACCATGCCCAGCTTTGAGATGCAGTTTGTTTTTGAGTACTTGGGATTGAATACTCAGGGCCTTGCACATGCTAGGCAAGCACCCCTACCAATGATCTGTATCCCCCGCCTTCCAATTTATATTCTTTTGTGGGCTTACAGAAAAGCCAGAACTTCCTGCTTTCAGAGTGGACACTATTTGAATATAGTCTATACATAATAAAACCAAGGATATTTTATTTCTCTGATGGGTTTGTGTTTACCATTCCCACCCAAGCCCTTGGACTACATCAGCAAATACCAACTCTGCCAGGGCAAAGAGCCCTTCCAGCTTAGCAGCATGTGCCACATTCACATACTTTTGGAGGTGCACCCTCCTTTCTCTTCAGTTGCCCTCTGCCTTGGTTTCCTTCAAGTTCTGTTTACCCTCTGACAGAAACTGGCTGGGAACCTGGGCCACTTAGAATGGCCTGCCTTGCTAGTACTAGTCCCACCTGAGGCCAGCTGTGGCTTCAGTGCCAGATGGTAAGGAGCCAGCTCCTGGTCTGTTCATGTGATCTACCATCTCTGCTTTTTTGGAATGCTTGTGTTGGATTTGGCCCAGACCTGCTTTGTGGGATTGGTGGACTGCTGTATACCATGGTGTGTGTGCCATGCACTGGCTCCATACCACATGGCCAGCCTTTAGAGCCAAGCTTGCCTGATTCAGTGGCATGTGAGGATGTGGTACCAGTTTCACAGCAGGATCATAGGAAAGGTGTGGGGTGGACATGTTCTTAAGTCCTGATACTTTATTCCCAACTATTAACCATGTAAAAACCCACACTTCCCAACCTTTCTCCTAGTAGCACCTAAATCTGTCTCTTGACTACTCTTCATAAAAGAAGAGTATCTTTTTTACACATTTTATGTGAAACTGTGAGGTACATGATCATCCTACTGGTCGGAAAACAGTCTGGAGAGGTGTCAGAGTGGGGTTTGAAGTCAAGTCTGTCCTACACTTTCTGCGTGCTAGGGTATGAGTTCAGGGTGGGTTAAGACTGCAAGGTCCTCCTCCCCTTTGGCCCCTGAAGGAAGCCCACCCATCCTGTACTGTCAAGGTGGGCCCCCTTGTTGGATGTAGCCTTAGACTAGCAGTGGTGAGCCATAAGCACCAAGAGCAGTCTTTAGGATCTAGTCTTTGAGAGCTCTCCAGGGCCTGTTATTTGGCTAACTTTTGCCCTCTAAAAATTCCAAATTCAGGCCTTGGACTGGGTTGTCACCTTACCTAGTTTCTTTACCCAGTTCAGTTGCTGACTTTAGGAAGCCCTTCCTCCCACTGGCCATTGCCCCCAGGTTGGTAAGTGACCTATAGTCCCCACCCCAGGCTTCTCTCAATATCATAGCCATAGCTGTTCCTTTTTAAATTTTTTTTTTATTTTTCTGGTACCGGGAATCAAACTTGGGACCTTGCACTTGCCAGGCAGGAGTGGCACCACTGAGCTACATGCCTGGCCCTTTTTTGTTTTTATGGTGGTGGGGATCAAACCCAGGGCCCATGAGCTCTATCCCAAACCCTATAACATGTTTTTATTTTGGACAGGATTGAACCTGAGGCCTTTGTCTTGAGCTACATCCCTAGTCTTTTTTTTACTTTATATTTTGAGTCAGGGTCCCATTAAATAGCCCAGGCTAGGGTGTAACTGTGATCCTCCTGCCTCAGCCTTCCAGAGTGCTGGGATTACAGGTGTGTGCCACTGGGTCTGGTTCCCATTAATTGTCTTAATTTGCTTGGCATTCCCTGCCAGATTAAGCCTTAGGGGAGGATATTTGGGACTCCAAAGCCTGGTCCAGGTATTTTGGGAATGTTTGTGGTATTTCCCACTTGAATGGCTCTGGCCTCCCTTTGTGACTTCCAGAATGGGAGAAGTTAGACTTCCTTGCTTCCCTTTTGCACTCTTTAGCTCTGGCCCCATCAGAATTCCTAAGGGATGGGAGAAGATACCAAGTTAGGCCAAAGCTGATGTTCCTCCCCACCCCGCCCACATGAGTGTGTAACACTGGAATTGATTCATGGTGCAATGCTAGGATCCAGGGCACTAGGATTAAGGGTGTGAGTGCTACCCACCCTAAGTAGTCTGGATAAGATATAAGGGACAGAAAGAGCTGTAGTTGTCCCTTGTTGCTTTGCTACCTTCTGCCTGCCATAAACTTTCTCCTCTGCAATACCACCCTGCCATGGAGCGAGTCAATTATGGACTGAAACCTCCACAAACTGAGCTAAATAAACTCTTCCTTCTTTAATCTGTGGGTATTGGGTCTCAGCAATGAGAAAAGTAAGACAGTTCAAGTAGACATAGTGGAATTCTTTATTTTTTGTTTACCTCCCCCTACTAAGGACTTCCAAGAATTGCACTACAGAATATTCATTAGACAAAAGGCAGATCTTAAGAGAAAAGGGTCCTTTTCCAGCCATCAGTGCTGGTTCAAAAGATAGCCTTTGAGTACTAGAGAACAAAGTAGAGTTCACAGAACAAAGATGCAGGGTTTCTTACCCTTTCAAAGACAAGATGAAAAGCTGCCAGCAAAGTTTCAAAGGCTACTCTAAAACTGAAATTATTCCTTAAATATTAAAGCAGAAAAATTCCTTCTTACTGCAGAAAGTGAATTGGCTTCTCAAACCATAGTTCCATCCTGATAGCCCAAGGACCCAGCCAGCCATGCTTCCAAAGGTCACTTGTATTTCTGGACTTGGGAGCTTCCTACCCACTACCCCATTGTGTGTCTCTTCTGACACTGGCCATAGTATGGCACCAAAGCATGCTGGGTAGATGTCAAATGAAATAAACACACACAATTTATTTTTAATTAGAAAGCAAACTGCATGGGATAGTGCCTTTCAAAAAGTCCATTTGTGGGCCAGGGATTCAGCTCAGTGGTTCTGCCGCCTGCCCCCGCAAGCGCAAGGACCTGAGTTCCATCCCTGATGCCAAAAAAACAAAAACAAAAAGTCCATTTGTGGGCCAGGGATTTAGCTCAGTGGTGCCCTACCTGCCTCGCAAGCACAAGGTCCTGAGTTCGATCTCTTGTACTGCAAAAAAAAAAAAAACACCATCCATTTGTGGCTGTTCATTATTCAATGGCCCCTGACAGACAAAAGGCTCCTTTAGCCTATGCTAGTGTCAACACAGAGACAATCTTAAAAAGTGGCTGATCACTGTAGAATCATGGAATGTGCACTGGAGATAACCCAATAAATTTAGTTCCAACTTCGTTTTTGCTGAGGAATAAATAAATGGTCCAGGGAGGCTGATGTGCCCAAGGCCACACTGTTAGCTAGTCAGCTATTCCTGTCCTTTGGATTCGCATGATTTTTTTTTTTGGTGGTTGGTAGTGGTACTGGAGATTAAACCTAGGGCCACTGAGCCATACCCTCTCTTTTATTTATTTAAATTTTTATTTATTTTTGTGTTTTTGAGACAAAGTCTTACTATGGCTGGCCTTGAACTTACTTTGTAGCCCAGGCAGGCCTTGACCTTGCTGCAGTCTTCAAGCTTCAACCTCCTGAGTGCTGGGATTACAGGTGTGTGCCACCATGCCCACCTGGCACCCTTTTAAAATTGTGAGGCAGGGTCTAAGTAGCCCATGGTGGCCTTAAACTTTCAATCCTGCCTCAGCCTCCTGAGTTGCTGGAGTTACAGGTGTGGGCCACCATGACCAGCTCATGATGAAATTATTTTTTACCTGGATTTAAATGACAAATCTCTTCCAGAGTCATTTGTTTCCTACCTAGAAGGGGTTTGAGTGTCTTTAGCATTTGGGACCAAGGGGCAGAGTTTTAAGTTCATGTGAATCACTATGAAGTACTCATCTTAATTAAAGTCTCGTAGGGCCCCTAGGGGGTACTACAGCCTTGAATCCACCGGCATCTGTAGGTTATCTCAATAGTCATGATTCTAGCTGTTTTCCTCAAAGTTCCAAACTTTCTATGACAATCACCTGGTGTTTTGATTACAGCACCTAGAAACAGAACTTAGAACTTTCGCTGGTTCCTTTGATAAATACATAAATAAACAAAACAGTTCTGAGTCCAACTCCCAGCTCTAGCTAACAGTTGTATTCCCAGAGACTTGGGAATCCTTCCTTCCCCACACTTATGTAAACATGGGCATTGGCACAGTTAGTACAAGAGTAGTAGTCTGCCTCCAGATCAGGGAGGAAAACCCAGCCTTCACCCTTTCTTTTGGTGGATGAACTGCACTTACTCTATATTCAAGAGATGTGGGCAGGCCAGGCCTTAAAAGCTGGGAAGTGTTTGGCAAATTATTGCCAGGTTCACCCTAGCACTGTGTATCTCCATAGCTGGCAGTTAGAAAAAATAAAAGGAAACCACCTCCCTTTAAAAATGATGGCCCACCAGGGATTTAGCTCAGTGGTTCCACAGCCTGCCTCACAAGTGCAAGGTCCTGAGTTCGATCCCCGGTACCAAAAAACAAAACAAAAATGATGGCCTTGGGGCCAGACAGGCAGAGACTGAACAAGGCCACAAGCTAGTTAGGCAGAGCAGGGGCTGGAGGACAGTGCAGGCCTGGGAGCAAGGGGTGACTTCATGCCACCAAGAACCTGCCCACCTGAAAAGGGCATGAAGTCATCAAGAGTAGACCAGGAGACCTGAAGCCTCTAGGGGTACTTTTGACCTCTGTTGGTTCTTCAACCACTGAGACCTGCAGGGAGGGGATGATTCAGCCCATTGGGCATGTCACTGTGCAGGTGAGAGAAGGGAAAGCTGGATCCACACTCTAGCCTGGAAGGAGCTACTCTGTCATTCTCCCATCCTCTGCCTCCCCACCTCCCTGCTTCAGCCTCATGGCCACCTCACTAGGAAGGCTTCTGTATGGTTCTCAGCTTTGCTCTTGAGAAGGCAAGGAAGGCAGATGGGAGTGCTACCATGTGGCTCCTGCCCTGGGCCCAGGCTGGTGATGAAGCAGAAGGCAGTGGAACTGTGGTCACCAGGGCTAGGCAGAGTAGGAAGCTCCAGCCTAGGAGAGAAGCTGCAAGAGTAGTTTCCAGATGAGCACGGTGCCAGGGTCTTCACAGCCAGATCCTGCAGGGGCAATGCTGGCTGCCAAGAGGAAAATCTCCCGCTGGCTGTCAATGGCCTGCAGGCCCAGCTCCTGCTGCAGCTCTGCCGCACTCATGGCCTCGCTCAGGTCCTGGGGAGAACACATAAGTCAGTGGGAACACAGCTGATTATTTCTGACACACTGCCACCCTTGTCATCCACAAAACCCACTGTTCTTCAGCTACCTCAGTGAGTATCAGGGCCCAAGTTCCCAGAAGCCTCTTGTGGACCCCTTGGGATAATACCAGTGCTCTCTCCCTCATCCAACTCCTTTGTACCAACCTCTTTTTATTGCATCACCGGCCACTGTGGTAAGCATTGTGATAGGTACTCATATACCTAATCTCTGATTTTTACATCCACACTTAACTGCAGAAACTGGCTCATGAAGGTGAAGTCATTTAGCCTAGATAACAGTGACAAGTTGGAGAGCCAGGTTCTAAACTCAGATTGATTTAATCACCAAGCTTTGACCTTTACAAGAATTCCTGCTGTTTCCTAAACTTGTAGTGAAGGGGTCATATACAATGCCCCAGAAACTAGCTAGAGGAAAGAAGCCACTACACAGGATGGCTGGTGATGGAGCATTTTCATTTCAACCCTGGCCCAAGATTAAAATGATTATTCTTGGAGTAATTCATAGAACTTTGGGACCTTAGGTATCTCCTAAGGTCATAAAGAAATAATAAGGTTAGGGTGGTGGCACACACCTATAATCCCAGTACTCAGGAGGCCAAGACAGGAGGATCTCCAAAGTTCTAGGACAACCTAGGCTATACAGTGAGCTCAAGGCAAGCCTGAACATTAGATTCTGCTTCAAAAGAACCTAATTTAAAAAACAGGCCAGACACAGTGGCTGAGGTGGGAGGAATGTGAGTTCAAGTACAACTTTGGGAACACAGCAAGACTGCCTCAAAAAACAAACAAACAAACAAAAAACCCCAACAACAAAAAAAACCCTTCTATTAACTTAGGTGTTATCTTTTGTAGGTACAAATTTGCTGTGAAATAATTTATAAATAGGATCATATGACTCATTGTCCAAATCAGGGTACTTCTGAGGTTCAAAGAGGTTCAATAGTTACACCAGAATAACAGGTATAAATGGGGGCTGTCCCAGGTAGACTAGGACATATGGTCATTGTATTTATAAATAACTGGCAAGTGTCTCTTGAAGGGGAGAAGGAATATGAGGTCAGAGATACACAGCTTCTCTCCAAGCCAAGATGTGAAAAGGTTCCATGGCTCTCAGCGACATGCAGATGTAGGCCACAGGCAATATGACAGGTTCAATACTGTGGCAGTTTCCTCTTATATGGAAGATGACCTAAGGTCTACAAGGCTGAAAGTTGCTGGGCCCAAGGGGGCCCAGAAGTAGAGGGTGATGGTTAAGAGCAGGAACTTTAGGGTTGGGGATGTAGCTCAGTGGTAGAGCTCCTGCATAAAGGCCCTGGGTTCAATCCCCAATCCTGCCTAAAAACAAAACAAATGGTAGGAACTTTTAGGAAAATCTGAGTTTGAGTCCTGGCTTTGCCAAAGTTGTAACTTCAGCGTATGAGGATAACAACTTTTTAAAAATATATTTATTTATTAATGGGGATTGAACTCAGGACCTTCATACCAAGCTATAGCCTTATGACTGTCAGGTGCTTAGCACTGTGCCTGGAACACTAAACACACAAAATAAATATTACTTAACCTGTTCTTATCACTTTAGCTCTCTGGCCTAGAGCAAGAAGTTGCAAGGACATAGCAGAGTGGAAAAGGTGTAGGTTTTGGAATCAGATATCCCAATTCCACTGCTCCCAAGGTGTACAACCTCAGTTAGATTACAAACCCCTCTGAACTTGTTTTCCCACCTGTAAAACAGGAACCACATCCCACATCTTGTAGGGTCAATAGAAGCCCAATAAGGACCACTCTTCAAAATCATACCTGGTATATATTATTTCTCTCACCTCTCAATGGTGACAAAAGGTTAGATAGGGAGGCAAAGAAGAAATAAGACAGAGGATGGGATGAGGAAAAGGCATATGTAGAAGAAGTGGGGCCAGTATCTTAGCCAAGCTCTCCAGGCATGGGCCCAGCCAAATTCCTCTGCAGTGTTCCCTGCCCCTGCCCAGGATTTTGCAAGAAGTCTGAATGGCTTTAGTCAGCCTCCTAAGGCCTCACCTGCTTGTTGGCCACCACAATGACAGGCAGGTCAGGATCCTTGTCTAGCAGCTTGTGCAGCTCCTGTCGGGCCCAGGGCAGCCGCAGCCGGTCAGCTGAGTCCACCATGAACACTAGTATATCCACCTCATTCACAAACTCCTTCCAGTAGAAGCGCAGGTTCTGGCTGCCACCAACTGAGGAGAGGTCAGAGGCCAGTTCAGAGCCTCCCTGGGCCTGGCTCTTTATCCTTAGCTTTAACCCACCCACTTCCAGCTTCCCAAGGCTCCAGGAGCCAGGGACAAGGAAAGGACAACGTCCTGAGCCAATCAGACTGGAGTCAATCAGACCTGAGTTTAGGTCTCACTCTGTCAGCCTGGTCTCTTTGAGCAAGTTGCAGCCTTCATGCATCAGTCCGCTTCTCACTGAACTCACCCAACAGGTTGCAGTAAAACTCAAAGGTACCATATGCGTCACAAAACTGGTGTATAGGTGTTCTAGCCCAACAAGCAGGACACTGGGTCCAGCAGACAGATCCTTTAATTTTCTACTGTGAATTTGTACTTTAATGTAATATTAGCCAGCTGTGTGTCTCAGTACCTTTCCCTGAGGGATACAAGAAACAATCCATGCGTTTACTCACTTGATATAATGAACGGCAAGGTGTGTGCACATGTGCAAAAGTGGCAAAACAGGACTTTTACCCATATTATGCTCCATATTATAACTGGTTTTGCTTATGTTTACCTAGCATCAGAGGGTCCAATAGATCCACATCACTCCAGGATTTGTTAAAAAAAAGTTTTCTTCTGATTTTTCTGGTAGAAGTAGCCCAATTCAGGACAATGGCACATGAAAAACCAGATTTGGAAGTTTTGGAGGAGGTCAAAAGTGAATCGGATTACTCATGGATGATGATAATCCATTATGGTAAAATATATGTGTGTTGTTTTTTTTTTGGTACCGGGGATCAAACTTGGGACCTTGCGCTTGCGAGGCAGGCGCCGGAACCACTGAGTTAAATCCCTGGCCCATATGGTAAAATATATGCTTTTATTTAACAGAAGAGTGGTGTGGGTAGATGATGATGACAACTTTGACACTGGCCGGGTGAGCCAAAGTTCCTGTGACAGTGAAATGGAACAAGAATCAACTGATACAGACACAGGTAATGCAGACCTCTTTGATTCAGATGATGAAGAAAACAGCAACGTGAGCACATATTTGACTAACTGAAATGTTGCAAAATGCCCATGCAACCAAATGGAATGATCCAATGTTAGAACTAGGGTCTGAATATAGTGAGGGTCTTGGCAGAGGTGAAATGTATTGGACAGAATGCCAGCACTGCCATTCAATGTTGGAAATTCTAACAGACAAAATACTACAAGAGGCTGTGAAATACACAAAGGCTGAAATGCAAGTAAAACATTCTGTATCCACCAACAGCCATATTCAAAAATGTATTTATGACACCTTACTGGCTGAACTGAAAGCATTCATAGGTCTGCTGTACTTAGCAGGGATTTCTCATAGCAATCACAGGAATGTAAAAGACTTATGGAAAAGCAATGGGTCAAAATATGGCATAAAAATTTATGCCCTTATAGATGTGGAGACATTATACTTCTCATTTATTTTTGGTATTTTGAGATAGGGTCTCACTATGTAGTTCAGGCTGGCCTTGAACTCGTGGCAACCCTCCTGCCTCAGCCTCCCAAGTGCTGGGATTACAGGCATGGACTACCACACCCGGCTATACTTTCCATTTATCCTGGAACTCAGCCACCAGGTCCTTATTTGTATAGTAATAAACCAAATGATGTTGTGAACATTCTTGCTGTTCCCATCTTCCAAACTAAATCAGAATGTGACACTTGACAACTGGTGTTCTAGTTGTCAACTGATGTTACATTTGCTAACAGAGAACAAGTTGACCAGTGCAGGAACTGTCACAGAAACAAAGCAGAAATTCCAGATGAAATGTTGCAATTTCAAAACAGAGAACTGTATAGTACAATCTTTGGATTTTAGAGAGATTTACATTGGCCTCTTATATGGCAAAGAAAAACAAACTGGTACTGATGATGTCAATATTGCACCATGATGGAAATATTGATAGGTAAACCTGAACAAAATGGAAGCCTGAGATGGAAACTTTCTACAACAAAACCAAAGGTGGAGTAGATGTTGTTGATGAGTTATGCAGCAACTATGATGTCACTCGAAACACAAAGCATTGGCCAATGGTTGTATTTTATTTGATCCTAAATGTGTGGCTTAGTTTGATAGTTTACAAAGAAAATAACAAGTGCAAAATACCATGGAGAAATTTTCTTAGAGGACTGGGACTGGAACTCATAAGAGATTCAATTTACACCATAGGAAAATAAAATGTTTCTACCTAGGGAACTATGCAAAAAAATTGTGGAGCACACTAGTGAGCTCTCAGGTGAACAGACAGGCACAGCATCACAAAGACCTACTATGACAACAGGAAAACCAAAGAGATGTCAACTGTGCCCTATAAGAAAGGACAGGAAAATAAAACATACATGCTTTCAGTGTGATACTTGTATATGGAACATGCAGTTCCATACTTCATGTTCCTGTGTGAAGACTACTTTGAGTGTGATAGTTGAAACAAAGATTATTTCTATGGTAGATCTGTGTTTACACTGTAGTTCACACAGGTTATTTCTGATATCTTTTAGGTTTTGTAAGCAGGTAAACAGCTGATGTGAAAATGTTGTGTATTCTAAGCACTCACTATATATTTGATACTTTGATATCTTACTTCCTTGCTAAGTTCACGTTGTACAAATATAGTAGGAAGCTCTTTTTTTTTTTCTCGTAGTAGGAAGCTCTTGAAAAACAGGAAGAGACTAGAGGTGACAAGAATGGTCTGCCACATAGGAAAGGAAAGCTAAGCACATGTCCTGTCGATGTGAGATGTATGGAACATGCAGTTGTCATGTGTGAAGACTGCCTTGGGTGTGACAACTGAAGCAAGGTTATTTTTGTACTATAATTTTTTTTGTGTGGTACCAGAGATCGAACTCAGGACCTTGTGCTTGCCAGACAGGAATGGTGCCACTGAGCTATGTCCCTGGCCTGCAAAGCTTATTTTTGTTGTAGCGTTCTATTGGCATTTTCATTATAGTTGATATAGGAATTTATTTCTGATATTATCTTTTAGGTTTTGTAAGCAAGTACACAGCTGATGTGAAAATGTTGATGTCTATTCTAAATGCACAGTACATACTAAGAATTTAATACTTTATTGACATTTTATGTTCCTCTTAGCTATACACTACATAATATAAAGTAAAATAATATAATATGAAAATTGACAAAACAGTAAGACCAGTGACCTGTCAAGTATGTCCTATAAAAAGGCCAGGAAGGCAAAACACATGTGCTGTCAGTGTAAGAAATATGTGTATATGGAATGTGCTATTGTCACGTGTGGAGACTG